TTTTTATTGCAGCACCCACCACAGTCAAAGTCTGGAAATAGAACACAGGATTCTTCAGTAGTAACATCTTTAAACCCTTTCAATAGTGCTTTTATTTTTTGGATTGCTATGTTTATCCCTACCTACTGTTTTGTATTTGGTTTTATTTTGCATAAGTCTAGGGTGGACTTGAAAGTCATTCCACTACATATTGCAGTATCAAAATGAACTGGTGGGTGTCTAACACTGATTACTTTAAAGCTCAGATCACATTTTTCAGGTTCTTTTTTCATATTTGTTTTAATTTACAAAATGTTGTCTAACAAGGAATAATATGCTAGTCTAAGGTTATTTACTATTTTGAGAATTTCAAATTTAAGGCCAAATTAGAAAACAAAACTGATGACTAATTTGATTATTCTAGCCCTTTAGTGAATAACCCTGTAAGATGGTCCTATTTGCAAGCTTTTAATATAATAAAGAATGGGTGAAATGCAAGCTATATAAGTGAGATGTAAAAAAACAAAAAGACAAAACAAATCGGCAAGGGAATAAGAAAGTTTTAAGATTATATATTCTTACATGCCTTCTCTTTAAATTTAGAATATCCATTACAATAAACGTTTCCTTTTTCCTCTATTGATCACCATCTGTTCTTTACAAGTCTACCCTCTGATAATGGAACAAATTCTCACTCTTACTATGCTCAAATCAGAAGCATTTACCAGCAAACTTAAACATTAACTGCAAGACCTAAGATCTGACAGTAAGGATGCCATGAGAACAAGGAATGACTAAAATAATTTTATCACCTGAGGGAAGGAAAATCCTCAAAATGTGGGGCATGCCCTGCTTATCCAAGCATCAGCTATGAAATAGCCTAGCATATTGATCCCCTACCAAGTTTGTACATCCTCTACTCAAAGTGCAATGAATACCTTTAGTGGTTTTAATTATGTTATTTTGATTTCTTTTGGAGGAACCTGTCAGTGCAGCACTTATGACATCCAGAACATCAACTGTGATGTACATATATTAATTCTTTTGTTTGTCCCAATGTTGCCTTCTTTTAGTGGTGTCAAGAGGCCAAGGATAGGCTTGCTGTTTAAAACTCACTGAATTCCATGTTTTCTTCAACTGGATACAGGCTTCACAGCATTGTGGACTGTCTTAATTAAGAGTGAATCAGTTTCAACCATACATAGTTGTTGAGATGATTTTCTTTGGGTATCCACTCCATGTAAACACTATGTATTGAGTTCAAAGGTTGTCAATTACTTTTTTGTTCTTTTTTTTACTCATTTCATGTTTTTCTCATGTCTCTCTGTATATTCTACACATGTTACTGTGTAACTAGAGGGATACCTAGAGTTTGGTCAGGGTATGCCTGGTTACCCATAATGTTAAGTACCATACTCTATAACATGTTATGGTATTGCAATGAGTAAATGAGTAGTTAGGAAAAATGGGAGGAGATCAGGTCTGTTCATGTGCAAAAAAAAAAAATTACAAAAATTATATGTACCGGCACTCTTTCACCTATGTTTGGTGCAAAGTATCAGGGTGGCCCAATACCTAACAATATAAACTACCAAAAAATGATACTGCACTCAAAAAAAAAATCTTCGATAGGGCCATTGAAGGGATGTTCCAGGTCCCGAGCGCTCAGCCCATCAAGAAGACCCAAGATCAGCAGATTAGAAAGCAGAGTCTGGTACCCTCAGGAAGGCAGGAGGATTTTTTCTGCACATACTCATTTACAATTCAAGGAAAACCACAGGGATCCACCACAAGAAAAACCTACACTTCAAAATAGGACTTACAACCTGGGAAGAATATGGTGAGATCCACCCATATATTATAGTGTGCACACTGGGACTGTATAGACTTTTTTTTTGCCTCCTCTTATTTTTTCTTTTATTGCATTTTTTACTTATTATATTTTAATTTTTTCATGTTTTCCTTTTTTTATTAATTTTTAATTTTTTTTCCTTTTTTCCCTTTTTTCCCTTTTTTTTTGTATGGGACCTTTGGATTCTAGGATACAATTAAAACAGCATCACCTGGACGATAGAAATCTGTGATTAGGGCTCTTTAGCTACATGGAGTTATGTATATAGATTTGCAATGAATTGTTCCCGTTTGGATATATTGTTTGATTCTAGTGTGTATATATCATCAAATTATTTATCTCTATTTTTTTGCAATTAATGAATTTTGTCTATATAATACTATTATGCATTATTAAAATGTTCATGTGCAAAGTCTGCTACTGTAGAGAATCCTTTCGCTGATGCTCTCAGCCAATCAGTGACTCCCAATTTTGAAAACTGGCTTGAAAAAGGTTTGTTTCTTTCTGAGTCAGTTTTGGTTTTTTTTTCATTTAAATTGTTGGATAAGCTGTCTAAATGATGTAATTTTGTATAAACCTTTAAAATTAATTAGTATGAGAAATATTTAATTGTTTTTAATATTTTGATTTTTTTTTTAATATATTGATATATATTGTCTATGTATTTTTATTTGTTTATTTTAATATACATATTACTATATACACTAGCCTTCCAATGCATTCATATCGATGATCTCAGCCAAAGAGGCAAAGCTACATACTAGAGAGCAGCAATGCGGGGGAGAAAAAAGAAGTAAAACTACAATTTCAACGCTTGCACTTGGGGTGCGGTCACCTAAATAGTGAATAGTGCACTATAGCATTAACATTATACATTTTTATTACTAATGCTATAGTGTTCCTTTTACCCCTTAAGGACACATGACATGTGTGACGTGTCATGATTCCCTTTTATTTCAGAAGTTTGTTCCTTAAGGAGTGTAGCAAGGGTGAATGCCTTGTTTTCTTATTTCAAACTTGTAAACCATTGTCCGGTGAATAATATGAACTGTGACTTAGTGCAATCTTTATTCTTGCATATGAAGGAAGTGTTTGAGTTTTTTTTTTTTAAATAACATTCATTTAAATGTCGACTTCAAACAATTTTAGACTGAAATTTTATTTTCCTGAGGTATCTGCAGAGCTACTCTAATAGTGAAATGAACCATTGAGGATTGCAGACACATTTTCTTTTGGCCTGTATCAAAATATTTCTTTGCTTTTTTTTGACTAATAAAAATATGAAGTTAGATAAATTTTGAAAATGTCATTCCCTGACACCTGGAAAATGACTGTTTATATTTTGTTTTATAACAATTTTTCTATTAACAAAAAATATCTGAATGATATCTTTATAAAATATCAAAAAGAAGCAGCATGAATTTAACTTCAGCGAATAGACATCAACATTTTAGGTTTAAAATTACATATAGTAATTTTTAAAAATGTGAGAATGCAAGTTTTCTACAATATTTATACTGTTAAATAAAAATCTTCACAACTAAATCTTAATATGGTATATTTTATGTTAGTGAGTTCCATTTAAAAAAACCATGGAGCTAAGTAATTGCCATGGTTACATTTTATGTAAATTGACTTACTTAACTGTGCTCTTTCATATATATATATATATATATATATATATATATATATATATAAATTTATATAAGCTTGATTGAGCAGGGTCCTCTTCAACCTATTGTTCCCGTAAGTTTATTTGTAATTGTCCTATTTATAGTTAAATGCCCTCTCATAATATTGTAAAGCGCTACGGAATCTGTTGGCGCTAAATAAATGGCAATAATAATAATATAAAATAAAAAAATGAAATATATATATTTATTTTATTTTTTAATTTGTATTTTATTTGGTTTTCACATACTCAGGTATACATCTGTAACATTAGATGTGCAAAAAAGAAATGAAAATAGCAATAACAAATGAAGACAACACAATGTATGAACTTAAAGGTTAACAGTAAGTGTAGAGAAACCTTTGAGAAATGTAGAAATTTGCTAGCAATTCTACTAGCACAATGTTTACAAAAATGTGATTATCTATTATTTAAAGGGACTCTATAGTGACCAGAACAACTACAGCTTATTGTAGTTGTTCTGGTGAGAATGGTAATTTCCTGAACATTTTTTAATGTAAACACTGCTTTTTCAGAGACAAGACAGTCTTTACATTGCTCCCTAGGAACACCTCTAGTGGACACTTCCCAGACGGCCTATAGAGGTGCTTTCTGGGTCAGTGCAGCACTGACATTCAGCCTGAACGTCCCCCATAGAGATGCATTGATTCAGGGCAGAATTTGGCTATGCTCCCCCGCCCTACATCATCAATTCTGATAAAATCAGCCAAGGAAGCGGATCTGTGTGGGTCTTGAAAAAGGTGAGTACATCACCTTTCTAACCAGGGGTAAGGGGGGCCGACCACCTAAATGGTGGGTTTAGAACTATAATGTCAGGAATACACGTTTGTTTACCCTTAAAGCACCCTCCATGTCACACTACAAACTGTCAGATTTATTCACTGAAGCAACAATTCAGAGTTATTTTCAAAAAGGTGAAAACAGCCAAATTGATATTAAAATTAAAACAACTTTTTCAAAGTGGAATTGTAAAGAAATGTGCAGAAGTAACACAATTAGTAAATGTGTCCTGTGCCATGCGGTGAGCAACTAATTGGTAATGAGATTGCTTGAAAATGATTTTCATATTTGATTATTATCAATTTTGACTATTTGCTGTAGCTCCAGTTTTTTAACCTATTGTTGTAGACATAAAAAATTGGTGGAATCAAAACACATTTAAGTCACCAGATTCTTCAGCAGTGTAGTTCTTCCAGTAACGCTTTACTTTCGTGGTATAAATAAACATGTTTGTCATTACATTTCGAAATATATGTTTAATTTAAATCACAATACAGAAATGTTTTATACAAATAACCCAATAGTATTTTTATTGAATGCAATTTATATTAGGCACATATTTTCCTTCCATGCCAGTTCTGTTTCCTTTAAAGATTTAATCCTTTCACGCAGACATCAAAATATGTTTTTTCTTTCAGTCAAATAGAGGTGGGCCGGTTGCAGACATCAATGGTGTCTTTTAGAAGTGCAACATTTCTCAGAGCTTAAAATATAATCAATCTTTATATGATGTATTTTCTTAGTGTTTAAGATATACATCAAACAGTCCAAAATTATATCACATGTCAATTCAGCATCATATTTTTAATAAATAAGTGATCTATCTGTATGTGTGCAATGTTCTTAGTGCATATTTTAAGTGCTTGTGTTGCTATGTAAATGTTTGTACAGTTTTAGCTTAGAAGATAGGAAATGTTAAAGAGAGGGTTTTATTTTTACTTACCTGCAGTGTTGGTATTAAAATGTTCCTTTTTTTCACTATTGTAGATGTAGAGATATAGAGTGACTGTGTTAAAAATATTAATCAAACTTCAAAATCCATAGGCTTCACAGCATGATGCAAATATTGATAGAGCTATTTAAAATACCATGTTTCAGACTAATCCTTAATTATGAAAAAAAAAAATTGTGGATGAATTGGGAGAAATGTACTGTGAATATGTGTGGGGGAATAATATAGAGATGTGACCACAACTACTTTCTATATATTAAAATAAGCAGTGGCAGGAGTGATATCAAGTGAGGCTTATATACTACTGTACAGCAGAAATTATATCCGAACAGTTGGAAAATAGTCTTTGATTAGCCAGCCAGTGATGGTTTAATTTCAGTTACACAAGCATTTGTTGTATGAAATGTAAGAGATAAGAACTAGGATAAAATGTATGAGTTAAGTGAATGATTCTTGAGTCCACTGGTAATATTGCAGTAGACTTGTATTCAGCGATAAAAACTGATTCAGACAAATGGTGGACCAAAATTAATTCATGTAGTGTTTCAATTCAGATGAATCTCACCCATGCAATAGATTTGGGATAAACTATACAGACTAACCAAAATGGCACAAAACCGCAAAAACATAACTAGAAGTATATATAGAATTGTTTGTAGGTTTTCTATACACAATTAATGCTTAGGCTGAAATGTTATATATTTGTTTTGTTCTTTGATCCAAATAATTTCTATTATTATTTGCACCACACATCATGGGTTTTAGATTTTGATCTGTATTCCAGGAATTTTGAGTCTTTTCCATGTTGCTCCAGCATGATGGACTACAGCAACTATTTTTATACCTGTGTGCATCTCCTTGGTTTTTGCTGTTTAAAATACTAATTGTTAATTTTTAATGGAAAATTCAACTTTTTTACATTTGGCAGCTCTATTCTCCCAATTCACAACCCTTATTATTTCCAAAAAAAAAACCTCCAAGCCAAATTACAAATTACTCCAATTCATTATACCCACATTATATTTCCAATTACTATATTCATGCTGTTTGTTTAAACATTCAATCTCCTTTCATTTGGCATCGTTTTCACCACCATGTCATTTGCCAGTTGTTGTCGTAGTTACATTTTTTGCTTATTCAGAATAGTTTGTGTATTTTTTTTTTTTTTTTTTACGTTAAAGAGGTTCTTTAAGCAACATCGGTTGTCATTAGTGATGTCCCAAACGGTTCGCTGAACGGTTCGCGAACGGTTCGCTGCGGACTCATCATTGAGTAAACTTTGACCTTGTACCTCACAGTCAGCATACATATTCCAGCCAATCAGCAGCAGACCCTCCCTCCCAGATCCTTCCACCTCCTGGACAGCATCCATTTTACATTCATTGTGAAGCTGCATTCTTAGTGAGCTGTCCAGGAGGTGGGAAGGTCTGGGAGGGAGGGTCTGCTGCTGAGTGTATTGTACGTGTTATTGGTTGTTCTGTAAAACCCTGTGGGCAGTACTAAGTTTGTGGATTGGGAATAAAAGAGGCTGTATGTGCCAGTCCTGTCAGTTCCTGCTTAACCCTCAAAGTGAAGTGTCGTCTCATTATTGGGGGAGGATTTATTGTATGCTGTTCCAGTTTGACTGCTAGGAGTGTAAACCTATTCGCATGGTTTTTCCTATTCGGCTGTATACAACATTCATATGCTTGAGAGCATTCATATGCTCCTATGGTTCGGTGGTTTTGGTGTCTGCTGCAGTGCTTGGAGTCCTCAGGAAGTGCTAGGAGCATCCTTCAACGGAGGTAACCAGTCGGGGTGCCAGGTGATCCGTTACAGGGTCCAAGCATCTAAATAATAAGGAAAACACTATAGCTCTATAAATACATGTTTGTATTCCTAACATTATAGTGTTCCTTTAAGTAAGTTACCAGGTGTGTGCACTAATTTAAAAAGGGTTAGATAAAGAAGTAAGGTATGCTACTTTTTCAGTTAAAGCAAATGTTCATTTACATTCAGGACAGTTAAGGCAACAATAAAATAAATATTACCCACTGCCATTCTCCCAGTGACACTATGCAAAATCTTAACTTTTAGTTCTTTCCAGCAACACCTATAAAAAAAAGTGATTGAAAAAAATAACAACATGGCTGCCAGAGTTTAGCATCAAAGAAATATTAGAATGGTTCCATAAAATAAAAATCTATAATAAAAACAATATTTGAATTTTAAAGGCTGCAACATAATAAAAACCTTCTGCCCATAGAAAACACTATACACAGCAATACCATTATATATCGACTAGATTTTCTTTCATTCCCACCAAATGCAAGACATGTGGGAGATTTCAAAATAAAACCAAAGTTTGACCCCGAACGCATGTGGTAGAGTTGATGAATATGATAAAAAGGACAGATTCCCAGTGAATGTTCTAACCTCACTGGTCAGTGAGAAAGGGGGAACCCAAGTTAACTTGCTTAATGTGAACAGGACCACAGTACACTCAGTCCTAAAATCTAATGTCAGAGGGAGTCGAATGCACTCCCTTTCCTAAATGGGAACAAAAGTAACCAAATCTATACAGATAGTGTATGTGACTGGATGGATGGGTGTGATTAGTCTGGGGTATGATTGAATGGTGAATGTGACATTGGGTGATTGGATGATAAGTAGGACAGGGCTATGAGAGGGTGGTATGTGTGTGTGGAGGCTCTGTGTGGGGTTGCATGTGGGTGACTGCTTGTGGTATTGCATGTTAATGGTGATGCTATTTGTATAGTTTGTGTGTAGGTTTGTGATTGCTTGTGGTGCTATGTTTTTAGTGGTAGGTTATTTCTGGTGTTGCGTGTTTCTGGGGACACTGCTTGTGGTGTTGTGTATGTTTGTTGAAGACTGCTTGAAAAGTTGCATGCGTGAGAGGGGGCTATTGTGGAGCTATGTGTCTGTGTCTGTTTGGATGGGGTAGTTTCTGGTCCACTATAATCATTATTCACATTAACCAAGAAGCCTTGAAGGAGTATCACATGACAGGTTATTACCTGTGAAAGTGAGCAGTTACAGAGAAGTGAATGTTCATCAAGCTGTCAGGTACTATAAATCCTTTGCCGAAGGAAGAGCTATTTATTTTAAATTTTTCGGGTAATTCTTTATTTTTTGTGTGCATGGTATTAGACAGAGGCAAGCTAGTAGCATCACAACAGCTCCAACAAGCGTATCCACATTAGATATTCAGCATGTACATGGCATATGGAAATTCTGCACATTTTTGTATTTAGCAGGTAAAACTAGCTAAAGAAACACTTCTAGGTATGTATAAAAATAGAGTAACGATGAGAGCTATCTAGACATGGTGATAGTAGTTAGACAGGAGAATAGACCATCACAGACAGCTCCAGAAAATATATAGTTAATATTTATTTAATAGCTTGGTAAATTAGAATGTCAGCTGTAGCTCACTAACACATTTATGTACGAGTAAAGAAAACTGAGGTGAGACAGAAGGGGTAAAAAAAGCAGGCTGAAGAATTTGAGGAAACACACCCTATTGAAGGTTGGCATACTGGGTTATAGTGTGCAATCCAGAGCCTCAGAATGGCATTCAAGGAATACCCTTACCAGGTAAATTACAGTCTTACGTAGCTTGAATTTGCAGGCTCTGCACTGAAGGCGGAATCAGCAGGGTTTGTGGCTGCATGTGCCTCCCCCTGTCCTCTACCATTCTCCACATTTTTGTTATGATGGGCATGGAGGGTTCAGAGTCCACTGGTGTACTTCCTTGCTCTTGGTGTGCCAGCATGACCTTGAGTGCTCACTTTTCTGTTGTCTATGGCCTTCCGTTTGCATGCTCTGTCTCGCTGGGGAATTCCTTGGATGGCTCGTAGCTTAGGTGGTCCACTGCTACGTGGAGCCGGTGCTGGTGCAGACTCTCCATCCGACTTTGCCTTGGGACTCATCTGGGTAGTGGCTGTGTCCGCAAGCCTCTGCTCTCCTATGCTGGTTTTAACTCCAGAATTGCTCCCAAAATCTGACAAATGCTCTGTCAAGTCGGTCTACCCATGTGGCCTAAGATGGCAGAGTCTGAAGCATGGAGGGCCTCCCGTCAGTGGCCATCTTGGTGGAGTGATAGCTGGTGTGTATTTCCGTGGGGAGCTAGCAGCCCAGTGCTGGCAGGGAGGGGAGGTAGGAGCATGCTGAGCCCCCTCCGTCGACCTGAGAGTGGCCACCTCCCCCCTCCCAGCCGCCCGCAGGCCACAGCTTTGGTTTGTCTTGAAACCACTAACCGCCGGCATCACACTTGCAAGAGAGTGTCTCCCATGTCTCCTGGTATGTAGTGCCTGCATTCAATCCCAGAGAGGCTGAAGTTGGCGGGTATAAGTAGTATAATCAGGCTTGTGGTCTGGAGTTAAGCCCTGGTGTGTCTAGCTGGCTCAGCAGTCAGGCTCTGCTCTAGTTGAATAAATTAATTAGTAGTCAATATTCATTTTTATTGTCTAACAATTATAACATTTCTTATGAACGCATACAATCCTGGATATATTAATTATATAGTAATTTAACTGATATGTGAGTTTTGAAAAAAAAATACCATATTCAATCAACATAAAGGAACAGATGAATTAGTTTTAAAAATGCACTGCCACGAAGCAAGATAGCAAAAAAAATAATGCATGCATTTTTTCTGCATGAATATTTTAGAATTTAAGATATGCGTTAATTTATATACCAGGAATACAAATCATGCTTAGAATGCTTTATACTAATTTAAGCATATTTTCCAGCAGAACTTCCTGTGCATAGTTTCAAGAGACCTGTTTCTGCTACATTCTGCTTTTTAAAAGAGGCTCTTGTGACTGTGCTGTATAAACTTAAATGTAATACAGCTTTTTGTATAATTGAAAAATTGCCCACAACTATTAAATGCCAATTTTCAAAATTAATTCATGCTTTTCATAAATGACTCCCTATGATGACAGCTTTTATTCCTCTGTGGATTTTTCTATAAAATAAATCACCTGAAAATTAAACATATTAAAATGCTCTTTCTTTTTAATTCAGAGAACAAAATGCAAAGATAAACAAATCCCTATTATACTAATCTTTAAGTTCTTATGCTGCTCTTTATTTCTTATTAATAATCACATAACATTTACACATGTTATTTATCATCAGGCAAAAGTAAAATTTTGTTTTCATTGCATTTTACATTTTCATTTTCAAGAACCTCATAGAATGCTAAAGGATTTACAAATTTGGCAGATGGTTGATATATTTAAATCCCATATTGAAATACTTTTTATATTCAGAATATTATTTTGTAAAATCTAAATCTTGTAACCAAAACATTATAAATAATCATATACAGGGAGTGCAGAATTATTAGGCAAGTTGTATTTTTGAGGATTAATTTTATTATTGAACAACAACCATGTTCTCAATGAACCCAAAAAACTCATTAATATCAAAGCTGAATATTTTTGGAAGTAGTTTTTAGTTTGTTTTTAGTTATAGCTATGTTAGGGGGATATCTGTGTGTGCAGGTGACTATTACTGTGCATAATTATTAGGCAACTTAACAAAAAACAAATATATACCCATTTCAATTATTTATTATTACCAGTGAAACCAATATAACATCTCAACATTCACAAATATACATTTCTGACATTCAAAAACAAAACACAAATCAGTGACCAATATAGCCACCTTTCTTTGCAAGGACACTCAAAAGCCTGCCATCCATGGATTCTGTCAGTGTTTTGATCTGTTCACCATCAACATTGCGTGCAGCAGCAACCACAGCCTCCCAGACACTGTTCAGAGAGGTGTACTGTTTTCCCTCCTTGTAAATCTCACATTTGATGATGGACCACAGGTTCTCAATGGGGTTCAGATCAGGTGAACAAGGAGGCCATGTCATTAGATTTTCTTCTTTTATACCCTTTCTTGCCAGCCACGCTGTGGAGTACTTGGACGCGTGTGATGGAGCATTGTCCTGCATGAAAATCATGTTTTTCTTGAAGGATGCAGACTTCTTCCTGTACCACTGCTTGAAGAAGGTGTCTTCCAGGAACTGGCAGTAGGACTGGGAGTTGAGCTTGACTCCATCCTCAACCCGAAAAGGCCCCACAAGCTCATCTTTGATGATACCAGCCCAAACCAGTACTCCACCTCCACCTTGCTGGCGTCTGAGTCGGACTGGAGCTCTCTGCCCTTTACCAATCCAGCCACGGGCCCATCCATCTGGCCCATCAAGACTCACTCTCATTTCATCAGGCCATAAAACCTTAGAAAAATCAGTCTTGAGATATTTCTTGGCCCAGTCTTGACGTTTCAGCTTGTGTGTCTTGTTCAGTGGTGGTCGTCTTTCAGCCTTTCTTACCTTGGCCATGTCTCTGAGTATTGCACACCTTGTGCTTTTGGGCACTCCAGTGATGTTGCAGCTCTGAAATATGGCCAAACTGGTGGCAAGTGGCATCGTGGCAGCTGCACGCTTGACTTTTCTCAGTTCATGGGCAGTTATTTTGCGCCTTGGTTTTTCCACACGCTTCTTGCGACCCTGTTGACTATTTTGAATGAAACGCTTGATTGTTCGATGATCACGCTTCAGAAGCTTTGCAATTTTAAGAGTGCTGCATCCCTCTGCAAGATATCTCACTATTTTTGACTTTTCTGAGCCTGTCAAGTCCTTCTTTTGACCCATTTTGCCAAAGGAAAGGAAGTTGCCTAATAATTATGCACACCTGATATAGGGTGTTGATGTCATTAGACCACACCCCTTCTCATTACAGAGATGCACATCACCTAATATGCTTAATTGGTAGGCTTTTGAGCCTATACAGCTTAGAGTAAGACAACATGCATAAAGAGGATGATGTGGTCAAAATACTCATTTGCCTAATAATTCTGCACTCCCTGTACAATAAATTAACAAATGATCAATAAATAATTTTTATCTTTAATATTATTAATCAGCGTTAGTCATTATAAGTGATTTCAAAACCATTAAATATTTTTTTTGTGCATTTTGTCTGATGCTATTACATATGAAGTAAACACTAGCCAGAGTAACAGCATGCAGAAAAATAAACTCAACATAATCTTTTATCATATTTACTTACAAGTTGTTATTTAATTTAAAAAATGATGTGCAATTATTTCAAATTGCCAGAATAAAAAAAAAAATGTATGGCTGGTTTTGTTTTTCATTTGAATTGTAAATAGATTTTTATCATTCCTCTGAAGATTGGTAACTAATGTCAAAATCTGTTATAATTTATTTAAATCACTGATATTACAAAATACCCATAGCAATTCTAATTTAGAAACCTATTTAACATTTTGTAAATATAGTTTTTACACTCTCACCATGATAGTGAGAGGACATTTCTTCCCGATAAGCTTAATAACTAGAAAGATTTATTGTTTCACAACAACAAACATGGGTTGGACAAAGCCCAATAGTCTACTTCTCAGCAAAGTTTCAGACTTTCCTTCACAATGTATCATGTACACTCCTTTTATTAGAACACTGTAAATTCATGTCTGGACAAAATCTATGTTCTCTAAAATCAGTTACTGGCATTTAGATTAAACAAATGTGTATATTTTGTGTAGTATATTATTTTTTTTTTTTTTTACTTAGGCTTTTCTTTTGCAGCATAGACATGTCAAAGAATTGTAGCCATTTTCACTTAACATGCAAAAATGCAGTTTTATATCATTTACATTTTGGGGGATATTTGGCATATATACCCTCTCATTAATATTGCAAAACAGTGTGAGATTCTATACAATTGACATCTGTAAACTTAAACTTTGCATGCCTTAAATAAAACTGTGTTATAGAGACAAAAACAGCATCAAAGCAGATACAACTATACAATTGTATGGCTCATCTACTTACAATACAATCATAGCCACCTATTCTTTTGATTATTCTAACATGAAACTCAGTTTAGCAGCTGCAGTTCTCTCCGGGTGTCTAGCGGGAAGAGGAAAGCGTTATTCTCCTTCTTGTCAAGCACACCGTTACTCTTGTTGTTCCGCTAATGATAAGCAACATGATCAAAGAGTGCCGCCCTCTTCAGCTTGTCGCCCCAAGGCCATGGTCTTGGTGACCTGTTGAGGATGGCTTAAGATTGACCTATTATCTTTCCCATGTTACTGGTTCAATAAGAAAATCACTTAAGCAAACTGTTAAAGTAAACCATTATAATATATACATATACACCCTGTTCCAAATTATTATGCAAATTCTATTTAAGTGTCACAAAAATTTAATATTTTGTTTTTCAGTTTAACTCATGGATGGAATTGTGTCTCAGGGCTCTTTTGATCACTGAAAACAATCTCGGACACCTGTAATAATTAGATTGCCAGGTGAGCCCAATTTAAGGAAAAACTACTAAAGGAGGGTGTTAAGCAGAGCACTATTGTCATGCAATATAGGGGAAAAAAAGGATCTCTCTTTCACGAAAACTTAAGCGTTATGTTACGGCTCCCCCGGTAGGAGAGGGGTTACTGCCGTAGGAGACGTTCCCTTCCCAAATGCAGAGGTAGCCACTGAGCGCTCCAAACTACCGAACAGCAATCATACGGATCACTTATTCTCCCAAACAGCCGAACAGCAATCATACTAATCAGTTATTCTCCCAAACAGCCAAACAAGCGTACTCCATACAAATAATCCCCCCCAATGACGAGACAAAGCTCCGTATTGAGGGTCAGCGGGAATCTGGTTTAATGGTGGATACTCCCCTAGGGGACCAAATGGGAGACTGTGACAAGGACATTGTAGCAGCCAATCACAGGGTACATACTTAGCCATTCCCCTTTTATTACTCAGGACCCTCTGCTCTGTCTGGGGAGATAATTGTGGAGTAATTCAATTATCTCCCAGGACAGAGCCTAAACGTCATTTTAGGTGACAATAACAAAAAGGCAAATAAATACATAACTGTTACATGTTACAACATAATATAGGCATTCAACAGGTCCCCAGATAGCTAGGATCTGAGCGCACAAAAGTACCGAATAGCGCTCAGATAGTATGCATAGAGTCCAATCGCCGTGGAGCCAAAGTGTTCACAAAGTCAGTTCTCATACGAATGGGCTCCATGGGATGTCTATCTGGGGTATGGTGTATTCGTGGATAAAATACCGAATATAGGGCCATTTGTGCACTTTCTACCGAACAAGAAGGGAGGTCGGCGGCTTCAGCGGTGTTCGTGCCAAAAAGTAACCGTTTTGAGTTCCATGAGTTGGGCGTCGAACACTGCTGTGCGTTCGTGGATTTAAAATGGCCGTGACCTCGTGTTCGGTATATGAATGACGGCCACCCAACTACCGTATCAATTAAGAGGTGTCTGCGGTTAACCTCAACGTTCTAATGGGGCCAAGAGGTTAACCAGCAGCACACTTCTCTAGTGGGTGGCCAGCAGTTCAGTAGTTTTATTCGGTATGTGAAAAGGGAATGGCATAGAGTCCACATGAACGGGGAAACATGAATCAAACTAACGAATGAAGAATACAGTTATCTAAGTCCAGGACAGAGGGATCTGTCACACGTTATTATCACACTATTAAGTGGCTGATTTAGAGCACAGACGGGTTCGTGCAGATAAAGGCACATTGAGGAAGATTTCTGCCAGATCCATGCATTGGATCAAGAGACTAGCTGCTAAAATACCATTACATAGCAGCAAACAGATATTTGAAGCTGCTGGTGCCTCTGGAGTCCCATGGACATCAAGGTGTAGAGTCCTCCAGAGTCTTGCAACTGTGCACAAACCTTCTATTCGGCCACCACTAACCAATACTCACAAGCAGAAACGGCCGCATTGGGCATAAAAATACATGAAGACTAATTTTCAAACAGTCCTGTTTAGTGATGAGTGCTGTGCAACCCTGGATGGTCCAGATGGATGGAGTAGTGGATGGTTGGTGGACGTCCACCTTGTTCCAACAAGGCTGCGACATCAGCAAGGCGGTGGTGGAGTCATGTTTTGGCCAGAATCATGGGATGAGAGCTGGTCGGCCCCTTTAGGGTCCCTGAAGGTGTAAAGATGACCTCTGCAAAGTATGTGGAGTTTGACTGACTACTTTCTTCCCTGGTACAGAAGGAAGAACTGTGCTTTCTGTAATAAAATCATCTTCATGCATGACAATGCACCATCTCATGCTGCAAAGAATGAGGGTGTGAGGCAGTTTACATCCAAACAGCAGCTCTGGGAGGCTATTTTGACATCTTGCAAACAAATTCAAGCAGAAACTGTCCAAAAACTCACAAGTTCAATGGATGCAAGACTCGTGAAACTGCTGTCAAATAAGGGGTCCTATGTTAAAATGTAATGTGACCTGTTAAAATGTTTAAAAAGTTAAAATGTTGTTATACGTTTGATTGAAATAGCTTTTGATTTCAGTAAATATGCTGCAAACACAACAAATTACATTTTTCAGTTCTTTACAACCTATAAAGTGTTTTGAAACTTACTGTGTGTAATAATTTGGAACAGTGCATTGTAAGTGTTTTATGTTTAAAAAAATACTGTTATCATTAGGAGGTGTGTTCAATAAAATTTGAATTGTACTCTTAATAGTTGATAACACGAGAATTCTACCGACTGTTATTTACATCAATTATTTAGGTGAAATGAGAAAAATATAATTTGCATAATAATTTGTAACAGGGTGTATATGCATAATTCATCTTATCTCACTACAAGTATGGTAGTATTGTAATATACACAAATATTACCACCTGTTTGGGTCCATAAGACCATAAAATAGTAAGTGCATAAGCATTGATCTCCATGAACCCAAGGGGTAGCAATTCTTAACCCTTTCAATGCCAGAATCTAGTATAAATGTTTTTTTTTCATGTATTTTCCTGTATTTTCAAGTAGAGATTGTAGCCGTATTAGTCTAGTGATGTAGATGGAAAAAACAAATAAAATGTGTATCTTGTAATACCTTTTTTATTGGATTAATAGAATTTTTTAAAGACAAGCTTTCAGGAGAACCTCCCTTTCTCAAGTCTTAAGCATTTTTGCAAGACGACACATACAATTCAAAGTTGAGTTATGATACAGGGGTTAAAGAACATGAGTGCAGATAAGACAGGTTAGATAGAACATAGACACCATTTTTGCATTTTGGTAAATATCTTATGCGAAGATCACAGAGTGAGGGGGAGAGAGAAAATAAAACAAGCAAACATTGCAGAAGATTGTGTATTTTCATGTATTTTGCAGTATAAAGCCTCTCTCACCCTCTTTCATACTCTAGTAATAATTACCAGCTTGTAGAGGAAAATGTTTCTCTACCAGAAGCCACTAATTACTGATGTAAGAAATGTAAATTTGCTGAAAATAATATGGATCTGCTTTCACACAGTACAGGAAGTCTAACTGGGTGATACCATTTTTACAATTAGAGAAGGGGAGAGGTGAATGGACTTTTCACTATCAGCATTACATTAGAATTCCAGGTCTTGATAAAGAATTGCTATAGCAGTTTTAAATAACTTTATCTTAAAAATATATGATTTAACTATATTTGCTGTTTATGGGCAGTATGCTCAATGCAGACATTCTTCTATACTTTCTGTTGCAAATTTTAGTAAACTATACTACTAGTAATTAGTGATGTCCCGAACTGTTCGACGAACGGTTCGCCGCGGACTCATCATTGAGTAAACTTCGACCCTGTACCTCACAGTCAGTAGATACATTCCAGCCAATCAGCAGCAGACCCTCCCTCCCAGACCCTCCCACCTCCTGGACAGCATCCATTGTGAAGCTGCATTCTTAGTGAGCTGTCCAGGAGGTGGGAGAGTCTGGGAGGGAGGGTCTGCTGCTGATTGGCTGGAATGTGTCTGCTGACTGTGAGGTACAGGGTCAAAGTTTACTCAATGATGAGTCCGTGGTGAACTGTTCGGCGAACAGTTCAGGACATCACTACTAGTAATGCCTTCAGAGTCCTTGCAAATACCTATAGGCAAGGTATTTAACCATTTTAAATGAGTAAGTGAAGGGGTTAATAGTGAAGGGGTTAATATTCTTCCAAAAATGTGTGAAATTGGCAAACAATTGTATTCTCTTTTATAGTGGCAGTACTGTACAAGTGGAATGTAACTCCAGCTGTGGACAAGAAGCTCCCCCTCAAATTTGAATATTTTAAGAGAGACCCAGCCTTATGCCCATATAAACCCTGTACCTCCAAGAAAACACCAGTTCTTCTTGTCCTGGCAACGGAACGGAGACAAGGCTCCTCCAAGCTCTATAAGACCAGGCAGAGATCGGTGCGGTTAGCACAGGCTGCTGACCGGAGATGTGAGTGCCCGATAGCTCCCCATATGGGAGCTGAGCGGCAGAGACATCCGTTCCGTTTCGGAATGCAACTGGAAGCCGGCTTATGTGGCCACATCCTGAGAGGTCCCGGGCGGACCTTACGGCACTTATGCATGCGGCCAATATGTAACAGGGTTGATGTTCCAGAAGGGATAAGCCAAATGGCAAGTGATTTAGTTAAACTAGAAAAATAGTTTAGTTGTGGCAACTGACATTTAATGTGGATAAGATAATGCACCTCGGACGTAAAAACCCAAGGGCAGAGTAAAGAATATTTGATAGAGTACTAACCTCAACATCTGAGGAAAGGGATTGAGAGGTGATTATTTCTGATGACTTAAAGGTAGGCAGACAATTTAATAGAGCAGCAGGAAATGCTAGCATAATGCTTGGTTGTATGGGAAGAGGTATTAGCAGTAGAAAGAGGGAAGTGCTCATGCCATTGTACAGAACATGGGTGAGAGCTCACTTGGAGTATTGTACGAAGTACTGGAGACCGTATCTCCATAAGGATATTGATACTTTAGAGAGAGTTCAGAGAAGGGCTACTAAACTGGTTCATGGATTGCAGGATAAAACCTACAAGGAAAGGTTAAAGGAACTTAACATGTATAGCTTGGAGGAAAGACAAGACAGGGGGGATATGATAGAAACATTTAAATACATAAAGGGAATCAACACAGTAAAGGAGGAGACTATATTTAAAAGAAGAAAAACTACCACAACAAGAGGACATAGTCTTAAATTAGAGGGGCAAAGGTTTAAAAATAATATCCATAAGTATTACTTTACTGAGAGGGTAGTGGATGCTTGGAATAGCCTTCCAGCTGAAGTGGTAGAGGTTAACACAGTAAAAGAGTTTAAGCATGTGTGGGATATGCATATGGCTATCCTATAAGATAAGGCCAGGGACTAATGAAAGTATTTAAAAAATTGGGCAGACTAGATGGGCCAAATGTTTCTTATCTGCCATCACATTCTACGTTTCTATGTGTAATGACATGAAGGGGTGCTGCCCTGGAACAGCACTGTCACTTTAAATGTGGGAACCCATACAGCAGAGAAATAAATGCCAAGACACAAATAAATAGGATAAATCAAGAGATATATATTTACAGAAAACCAAAGGAAAACGCAAAACATATACACACACAAGGCCACTAAATATATACAGTAAATCAAAAATTAGTACTAATCATGCAGGCAACAAATACTGTAATAGTCCTTGGGTATAAGGGTAGGATTGTGCAGCTACCACGAGTAACAGGTAGGGCACAGATCCAGAGTAACAAGACTAATATAGGGACATCAGCAGTCTGCAGGGACAGGATCACTGTTAGTAAAGCCGGGACCACGGAACCAGAACACAGGACCGGAGGGCACAACAACGCAGGACCAGGAGGACACAGGACGAAGACCAGGAGACACAGGACCAAGTCACAGCACGCAGGAGCCAGGAGCCAGGAACACAGAAAACCAGGGAAACAGGAAACAAAAGGCAATGATCTGGCAAGGAGTGAGGGGAGAAACCAAACTAAATAGGTGCTAAACAAGGACCAGGTGAAGTGCTTAATGAAAAGAAATCAGGAACAGTGCGAAACAGAAACAGTGGTGAGTGTGAGTACTGCACGAGGGTAAATCAGCTAAGGAGTGTCGTGACAGTACCCCCCCCTTAAGGAGCGACTCCTGGCGCTCCAAAACCCCAAGATCCCCCACGGGTGACAGAAGAAAAACAGGGTCACCCAACCAGTAGAGGAAAACAAGGAGGAGGTTCAGGAGGAATAAGAGGCGGAGAATCCCACGGGAGAAACCAACGAGTCAGAATAGAAACATACAAGAGCAAGGACTGTAGAGTAACATTTAGCATTAGAAGGGCAGACACATAAACAGAAATTAAAGGCACATACGATAAGAAACACTCCTTACCAGTGATCGACAAATGTGCTAACCCACTAGATCTGGGACTATTGCTGGTAACAGGTGCATCACTCAGAAGTCCTGGGTCTGACTTGGTTTCTGGCTTGTAAGATCCTCGGAACAAAGACTGCGATGCAACTTCTGTAGAAGGGAGAACAGTCTCTGCATTATCTTGGGTAGATACAACTGGAATCAATCGAGGAGAATCCCCTAAACCAGCGAGTACAGGATCAGGAGCACTCTGCGTGCCCTCCTCCTCAGACCGCAGATATGCATCAAGGAACGGTTCCCCCAATATCTCGGAGCATGGGGCCAGCCGAAGCAGGGACGATTCTCTCTCAAATTGATATAATTCTGTAACGGCTAGAGATACCTGGTTACTTAAATCATTCTCTTCTTCACTTGTGAGCTCAGCTTGAGGTAGTTCTTTACTTGTCATAGAAGTACTCTCAACTGAAGGCAAGTCTTCTTTTAATACTTGCTGGAGTTTAGGTGGAGTGACAGACATCATGGGAACTGATATGTCATAGAAGGAGCTTCCTTCATCATGGGAACAGGTACCGGATATGTGGATGCTACCTTCTTGTTCGGTTTCACTCACTTCTTTTGGAGTTTGGTTAAGCGGCTGATTTGAATAATCTTCGACGCTTGGTTCAGGTACAAGTGTGGTAGTTGGTGTTTCCTCTTGCAGCAGAGAAATAGTTCTACCAGAGCATGTAACTTGAAGAACGATATTAGACTTACATAGAACTGTAGAGTCTTCTTCAGACTGTGGGTTCAGAACAAGCCCGGTCTCATTTAGATCCTTTTCTTGGGCTTGATCCATCACAGGTTTGTCACGTTGCACCAAGTCTGACTCTTTGTCTTCTATTTGAGGATAATAGTCTTTACTTGGCGACAATTCATTTTTCACAGTTGCGGTTGTGAGAGAGGTGCCAATCTTCGAACCCCCAGAGGTAAAAGGGTTAAAATTGGAATCATCAAGCCTCTCCACATCAAAGTCATGAGCTGCCTTTGGCACAATAACCTCTTCTTCCACTGGTTGCTCTGAAGCTTTCACCTTAGGTTTTTCAGCATTCTCAGACAGTGTTTTGAAAGAAGTAGGTCGTTTACCACGTTTCCTACGTGGTGTCTTTTTGATAGGAGGATCATCTTCCACGAGATAAGTCTCCAATTTCAATGGTCCAGTCTTGTCGTCACTTTCATCACCTGGAGCAAATTTTATAGGTGACTCTTCCAATTTTGAGTCTCCAGTATTAGATGACTCAGCCATGTCTATTTGATCGGAGTCAAATTTGTAGGATGACTTGGGAAGAGGTGGAGAAATTGGAACCTCTGATTCCATAGAGTCAGTATTTGGGTTGACACTTACAGTATCGAATGCTTTGTCCTTTGTGGGACAGACTTCCAGATCAGATCCAGTCACCTGGTCAAGGTCACTGGTGGTCTCCTCAATTGTCACTGTGAGGGAGGAATTAGTATCTCTGGTTGCAGACTCAGGGGAGTCTATTTCTGCTTCGTGGCTGGGCAGACTTTGCTTGAGACACTCTCTGACCAGACTTGTACCCTCCTGAACAGTGTTGAGATCGTTCATCTTGGTAGTCGGTATTCTCACTTTGGGAATATGCGAGTGGATCTTGCAAAAAAGAGACTGTGGTATAAGGGTACTACGGGTCTCTGGTACTGAGATATTAGGAAACTGCGTACTGGTACTACCTCCACATTCAGGCTGCTCGTCCTCCAGAGCTGCTATGCAATGAGCACCCAGTTCATCAAAGACCCGGTCCATGAGGGGATCGCCAGTGCTATATAACCCTTCAACATCGTCGTCTTCAGTTTGGGCTGGAAGGCATTCAGCATTAAATTCATGAGGAATTTCGGTTTTGCAGTCGGGAGGATCAGCAAGCCTTTTGTCCAAGTCAGAGTCAGGAGGATTAGGGATGCTATGCAAATTAGGAAAGGGAATGTAAACATCAGTATCAGACATAAAGACACTCATCCTTTCCTGTACTAAATCAATAAGAAATATAATTTCGGGAATCAAGGCAATGTAATTATTGTGCATAACTCTTAACTGTTTCTGCATAAACGATAAAGATTTGTTACGTGATGTTTCTTTAAGAGACACACAAAGAAGTTCATTCACCCTATTTAACACAGTGGGCTTTCTCAACCATTTTTTGCAAATAGGTAGCAGAGAAAGCAAAGGGTCACATATTTGTTTGTGATAAATTTGCAGTTCAGTGATAAGTCCACATAATACAGATTTCTGAACTTGGAAAGAAAGTTATAGTAGACAAGCAGAGGGCACCCATACAGCAAAAATGTGGGAACCCATACAGCAGAGAAATAAATGCCAAGACACAAATAAATAGGATAAATCAAGAGATATATATTTACAGAAAACCAAAGGAAAACGCAAAACATATACGCACACACAAGGCCACTAAATATATACAGTAAATCAAAAATTAGTACTAATCATGCAGGCAACAAATACTGTAATAGTCCTTGGGTATAAGGGTAGGATTGTGCAGCTACCACGAGTAACAGGTAGGGCACAGATCCAGAGTCACAAGACTAATATAGGGACATCATCAGTCTGCAGGGACAGGATCACTGTTAGTAAAGCCGGGACCACGGAACCAGAACACAGGACCGGAGGGCACAACAACGCAGGACCAGGAGGACACAGGACGAAGACCAGGAGACACAGGACACAGGACCAAGTCACAGCACGCAGGAGCCAGGAGCCAGGAATACAGGAAACCAGGGAAACAGGAAACAAAAGGCAATGATCTGGCAAGGAGTGAGGGGAGAAACCAAACTAAATAGGTGCTAAACAAGGACCAGGTGAAGTGCTTAATGAAAAGAAATCAGGAACAGTGCCAAACAGAAACAGTAGTGAGTGTGAGTACTGCACGAGGGCAAATCAGCTAAGGAGTGTCATGACACTATGTAGCGGAGTCCCAATATTAAGCATAAATATCTCCACTGTAGACTCCTTGTAGCTGAAGGAGCAATAAGATATCCAAGGCACAATCCACCCCCAGTAACTGGACGACACACAGTTCTAGGAGTCAACTAATTTTATTTCAGCCCCAGCTGGCTTTTATGCAACTCCCCATACAAGGTTTTTTTTAAATCATATTCCAGGGGTTTACCTCTGGTGGACCTTGTTGGGGACAGGGGACAAATCAACATTTCCCAGACTCCTCCTCTGTGCCTGGGAGATAATTTAATTATAGAGTTATCCCAGGTACAGAAAATATACAATATTTATAAACAGTACAAAATAGTTCAGAACCCCACAAAAGTTACTTTACAGAATAGCTGGAATCTGAGCATCCACTTTGTCCAAATATCACTCAGATCTGTTTGGTAGTTAAGAAACGCCATTTGAGTGAAGTTTGGACCTGTCAACCACAAGGGGAAGCACCAAAACAGTTCCAGAGAAATGTAGGCTTCGACCGGTCTTCTTTCTGGAGTTTTTATACGAACGCTGCCAAAAGCCCCCCCTTGGCTTCTAGCATACACCTGTTCCCCCTGTTCGATAGTTTAGGTCTCCCGAACATCGTTCTCCTACTGGTTCAGGAAGTTGAATGTTCAGCAGTATCAGTTTGCCGGGTATTCGTAGAGTAGCCGAAATTAGTTCCAGGTCATCGACCGACCATGTACTGCTGCCCATGTTTGAGAGACAAAATGGCCACTGTTTGTTTGCACATGTGCGTTCGGTAATACGAACAGAGGCCACACAGGGGAAACCCTTTCTTTAACAAGCAATTTGTGGTTAGCAGCCTGGTTGGTTATTAAATGATGTGCACCCAAAGACCACACAGATTGGGTTTGGTAAATGAACAGGAGGGTACGGACAGCCGAACAAAGGGAATCAAAAAGGATTTAACAATGTTTACTCTGCTACATCTGAGATTTTGCAAACAGAACAGAGACACCAGATTCAGAGATCTTAATAAACAGGACAAAAAGAAAAGGTATTGACGCCAACAGAGTGGGAGGTCGTCTTCGGTTCTTTTCTCAAATATGAAAAGAGACGACATCAAACTATTGTATTCTAAAGACTATTTTAGAGGAATACAGAATCAGCTTTTCTATGGTGCCAAAGCCATCTTTTCCTCTTTCAAAGTACCCATCACGGAAGAAATCAGAGGCCCTCCTAGCAGAAACCCTACTCCTTTTATGCAAGGGAGTTTTAGAGAAAGTACCCAGATACCAGGAGTTTCAGGGGGTTTACTCTCGCTTGTTTTAAGTTCAGAAACCAGACAAATCCTTCCATCCTATCCTAGACCTCAAGGATGTCAACGCATGTATCCCTTATCAGAGGTTCCATATGGAAAATATATTGTCAGCAACGCACATCCTGCAGAAGAATTCATGGCAAAGTTAGATTTGAAAGATGCCTACCTTCATGTTCCAATGTCTGTATCTTCTCAGAAGTTTGTAAGGTTTGCAATACTAGCAGGTAAAAGAAAGATTCTTCATTTTGAGTTCAAAGCCCTTTTGTTTGGCCTTTCATCAGCCCCTCGTATCTTTACAAAGATCCTGGCTCTTATAGCAGCAACCTTGCGATTAAGAGGTGCAACAATAGTTCCTTACCTGGATGATTGGTTCTTAAAAGCAAAATCAGAACATCTTCTTAGGTTAAACCTCAAGATCACCAGAAGGGTTTTAGAAGATCATGGTTGGCTTTTAAACATACAAAAATCTCAGATTATTCTTTCAACAAGGATGGAATTCCTGGGTCTTTTGGTGGATTCAAGGTCTCTCTCCCTTTTTCTTCCTATGTCAAAACAAATAAGAATTTGCAGGGTCATTTAAAAATTACAAAAGAATGCTTGCTCCATTAGTGTCCTGGGGCTTATCACCTCCGCAATCCCAGCAGTTGGTTAGGCAAAAGCAGAAATTAGACTTTTACAATGAAACATTCTTG